AACTCTGGCAGAAGCAAATTGGATCGGCTACATTTACCCGCTTTTTACTAACAACTGAATTCCTGTTGAGTCGAAATTCTGACCCATGCACTTCTAGATATTTTGGACTATATGGCCCACTATTGTGGGAGATGTTTCCCATAATCAGAGACAAGGAGGTAATATATAGATTTTAAAAAGATGCTCAAGAAGGGACCACTGAGGAATCCATCTAATCATTGGTCACTCAGATTTCTAACAATCAAATAACAAATTTAATACCAGTCCATGTAAAGATTGGTGTTAGTTCAGCACACTTTTTCTGACTAACAATAGATTTTTAGATCAGCTAAGTGAAGTGCAGCATTTGAAATCCAGTTATAATAAGTTTTACATTCTTCCCTCAGTTGTCATTTAACAGTTTTGCATTTATAATCCATTTAAAAGGTTTATATATATATATATATATATATATATATATATATATATATATATATATATATATATATATAAATTAGTGCATTAGTTTAAAATAAGAAATCTGTTACCTTTTTTAGTTTGATGCAAATCTGTTGTAGCCAGATTACATTTGTTTAATGTAATTTGACCATTGCATTTTTTAGGGCCTCTTTAGTGTCATGGTGTTACAAACTTCAGACCCAAATGCAGAAAACCGAACAGAGAAACCAGGGAAAAGGTTTAACGGGTTTTATTGAAGAAGTTAAACAGGGGGAGAAGTGTTGCTCTGAACACTGCTGAACCGGAACTGTAAAGTGAGGGGAAGACACAGCGGTTAGTTCAGGCTCAGTGGGAAATTTGACTCGTGAAACTTGGAGAAGAGGATTTGGTTGCCGACTCACGTTTCCAGAGAAGTTGTTGATTCCTTGACTCCTGTCTGTGTGCCGTGTTTACAGTGTTTGTCTGATTCGGTGGAGGGCGGAACAGGGTTTACCCATAATGAGGTTGATAGTAGGTGAACGGAAAAACTGACTGCCACTCAGATTTCCTGCGGTACTTGAACAGGTCGTAGTGGAGATTAATCCCTTTCTCAGTGAGAAACTCAAACGATCTTGGGGGAAAGTGGATCCAAATCTCCTGTTTGAACCCCAGCTCAGTTAGAAGCTCAGTTGATCCTTCCAGGGAGTGAAGGTCCCAGAAATCCAGTTTGCAGGATGACTTCCCTAAACTGGCAAACACTCTGGCGTCGAAGTAGTGGCAGTCAGCAGCTTAAGAACACTCCGTTTAACGAGGAAACCATCAGCAGGTGTGTGAGGAGGCGGACCAGAACCAGGCGCCTCCTGGTGGATGAAGGGAGACAAACACAGTAACACAAACACAAAAACAGGAGTCCTGAGATTTAGGGCTTTTTGTTTGTGCTTGATTACAAAAAAATCCCATACGTGGAAAGTAGAATGCAAGATTTGGATTATTTTAGCTTAGAAGTTTAAGATATAAAGTACATGGGTTATATATAGAGAAAAAAAACAAAGCAAACAACTGTTCTTCAAAGCAGTAGATTTGGAAGCACTGGCTAAAGTTCAGGTCAGAATTTTTGACAGAGATAAACAGTCAAAACTAAACTGTGTGCACTAATTATTAAATAATCCTAACATTAATATGTTAGATAATTTATAAAAGCATTGGTAGAATAAACCGTAAGATCAACCAGAGACATAGATTCAAATAAAAACCTCTAACTGCCTTCATTGGTATTACATTTTCCAAAGACGTTAAGTGGTTTCGACTTGGCTTGAGTCTCTGCAGTTTTCTCCTATTAACCATGCAATTTATCACTGCCAGAAAGTGGAAACAATCACGGCTGCATTGCAAGTTTCTGAATCTTATCTTCCACCTGCATGACAGTCTTTGCATTGCCCATCGCTGCTCACAGTTGTCAACAAATGTCCCCCCATTCACAGCCTGTCACCACCGACCCATTTTCCTATTCATCACTGTCACAAATGTTTCGATTTTATGTTCGCACGCTCAGAAAATTTCTCTAATTATATGGTGATGGTTCTCTAATATTCACTGGATTGTGATTCATTATTGGGCTTCTGTTTGTGACACTTTGTCATCTGTTTTCACGTCCGTCAGACATAAAGAGGACAGTTTTATTCATAATGATGTCCAGTGGCTGTACAGTAATTTAACAGAACAGGCCCTACTTATTTTTGTATTACTGTCAGGTTCTTTTTAAGAAAAGCTGGCTCCAGCATCACTTTGCGACTTTAAATTGAGGATTTCCAGCATCAGGTTATTTTTCTGGACCACTGTTGGAAACCCAGGAAGCTGCAATTAGAGAAAGTGCAGATTAGGAAGGAAAGGTGTCCAAGTGCCTGCAGTCACTCACCTGTAATTAGTTTAATAGCCTTGTTTTCCACTGCATAGCCAATTTCTTTCTACAATACGTTAATTAATAACTAGCTGAGAAGGTTTCATGCAGCGTCAGGGAAATAAGATCCTCTTCAGCATTCTTGCTGAAACAGTTCAGTCTCTGTTTGCTGCTCCACTGATGTGACTTTAACATCTATTAATCTGACGAAAAAATCTTTAACTTTGTGACAGCTGGTGTATCTGATCACTGTTTTAATTAGCTTAGTTTCATGTGTTTTGTGGCAGGTTTAATACTGGAAAAACTAAGTGCTTGGCAGGTACTGTAAGTTGTTTTATTTCAACTTACATACAGGTACACTCATTTTCACTGTTCATTTCAAATGTTTTCACACCAAATTCCAAATTTTGGATAAAAGGGTTAATTTCCAAGTTTTTATTTTATTTTCGAAAGTTGTTTGAAATTTTGTTTTGCAGTTTTTATACAGTTTTATGACATATCTTTTTGTGTATAAACTAAAACCTTCAGCAGAAAATGGGAATTTGTAAGTAATTTTTTTTTGTGTCATTAAAAATTTGTAATACTTCATTATTGTCATTTTAAGGGACAAATCTGATTCAGAAGTGAAGATATTTAGACAGTTACTAAATTGTAGTGAGTTTGGGAAAAGGTAAGTTGGTCCTCTAGAAGCTAACTAATAAGCTCTTGAAATTGAGGCAATGTTTGCAGTTTTAACGAATCAAACCACAATTGATTGCATGTTTGACATACAGAAATATATGGCAGATATTTCATGAAATAAGGACGTAGGAGCTATTCAAATCTTCTCCACTTACCTTGATGGGCCCTTGGCTGGTCCCGTACAATTCCTTTTTTAAACATCAATCTTTGTACTAAAATATTTTTTCTGTCATGATTTGTGGACATTAAGATCTAAAGAGAAACGTGGAGTCAGAGTAAAATAATTTGCACGCCCAGGAGAAGTAGGGGGTCACTCCAGTGGATGGAAGTTGGCTGCTATTCGGCTAGCGTTAGACTGGAAAGGGCCATTTTGAAAGGCTGCTACTGTAACTACATACAGTACTAGTGAATAATGCAGTGGCAATAATGAAAGCATAAGAAACAACTGGAACTGTGATGAACAAATCAAGATGTTATCTTGGAGTACCACTGGGGAGCTTGGAATGGAAGGTGGTTTAAGGATGGTTTACATGCAAAGATGTAAAAATTGTTGGGAGAGCCCCCACTGTTTCTGGTTTTCCTTCTTATATTTTCACATTATGAAATAAAGGATAAGAGACTGTTTTTCACGCGTTATGACGGCTTGTCTGCAACACCAACGGTAAAACCACCGTGTAGCTCCACCCTTGCTCCTTTTTTCTCATATTTTTCCAAAACAAAAGAACTTCCTGGCAATGCTCTGGAAGCCTAAACAATTTGCAAAGTGTGTCTAAATCAAATCTTACCTAAAAACAAACAAATAAAAATTGAAATATGTCCTAAATTTAGAACATCAAATTTTACTTCTATGTTCTATAAATGAGCCTTACACAGACCAATGACAATAATAAATCAGTGATTGAACAGTTTTGGTCAGATATTGAGTTTTTCTTCAGCCACACAAGAAGAACAGCAGACCACACATGCACAGATTCCACTCAGAAGATTTCACCATCAAACAGGAGATCTCAGCGAACCGCTCAAGATGCACACAATTATGAATATGAATTCAAGTTTGCAATGTTTTAAAGGTAACAATGTTCAGCTTTGGGTAAAAAAAAACTTATGGAAATGGGTATGTATAAACAAAAGGCAGGTGGATACAATACAAAGTTTTTGCTTGAATGCAAGTTAATATTCATAGTTTATTATGTATGAATGAACTCTTCCAAGTATGACAGGATAATGGCTATTTTTAAGTATGCAAATGAGGCAGCTTAGTCTGATTTGAAAACACCAAAGGAGGATGATTTGGATGTTTACTGTGGTGTAAAGATCATGCAAATATTCCCAACCCAAGCACTGATAGCATGTAATGTTCTCGCCATCCCTGCATTAAGCACAGCTAGTGAAAGAGGCTTTTCTTCTGCTGGGGGGGGGGTGTGAATCAGGAAAGGAGAACACAGCTTAACAAAGATGGTGACTGTTGAAAAATAAACTCAAGAGCAGGGTTTCAATATCAGTGGTTAAACATCCTAGTTAATAAAATATCAGGGCATCTTGGAAGGGGAAGATTGGCATGATTATCTCGCAGTGGGACTCCTACTTTGACATCACAAAGGTTCGCTGTTGGAGAAAAGCATCTTAGGCTAAGCAAGTCTGCCCAAAAATATATTTTAATACTCTCTACATCTTTATTGGGGTTCCTATACTCTGATAAGCCTTACAAAGCATGGAGAAATCTTATTTTAAGGCTATTTTAACCACATTTTAGTTTTAAAATCAGGATTTTTGCCACAGTATTGCAACCCGTAGTAAGTTAAGTCTGCTATATTTTAAACAACTTATATAAACAGTAGTACAACAGCCTTCAGTTAAGATCCATTTTGATATTTTCCCCCGTGAGTTTTTGGGGCTAAAGCATTTAAGACAAAGAAAATCCACTCTGCCCTCTCTCAGTGAATCCTGTTAAGAAGCTGATTCATCCCACTGTATCTGCCTTTGCTTCCTCTGTCTTTCTTTCCAGGCATCTTGGACACGACCAGAAAAATATGAGGTATTGCTAAAAATATCCTAACCTGAGTCAACTAATATCCCAAACTTACACTGTAGACCTCCCTTTTTACCATTTCCATTGCAGAGGTGTTGTTATCTAGCCTGCTTTTAGTATGCTTTAGACTTGAACTATACGCATAATGTGTAGGTCATTAGACACATAGTGCAGTCAATTTAATCCAATTAGTTCCAGTAAACACTTTAGATTTACTCTTTTACTTCTTGTTGCTTTTTGTTGTCCTTTGATCTGATCTTGTGATCAAGAAGCAATCTGAAAGTAATTTTAGTTATTTTCTTTGTGGCCCTGCTGCTATTTCTACTCCAGGGTCTGGTGGTTCTTGCTCCTCGAAATCCTTTTTGTGAAATGAAAAAAGGCACAGTTTGCTCTGCCTTGAGCAAGCTTTTGGTCTAACTCGCACAAATCCTAGCACAGTGATTGCAAATGGTGCATCCACCCATTGGGGGCCAGGGGCCTGCATGTTTGGCTTTAACTGCACAGTTGGATGACTCTTTCAGTCACCTGGGAACTCGCTGCTGTCATATCTCTGGGTCAGCTCATCCAGATGAGAAGAATGTCTCCCGTTTCCCTGGAGGTCTATATACCACTTTTAGTTTTTCTTCTAGAAGTTTTGAGATACTTTTGTTCGAAAAATTACGTAATTTTTATATTATATTATTGCTTTTTAAAAGCACAGCATTCAAACTGGATTATTTTAGATTGAAAATGGCGAAACATTGTTAATTTTACAAATAGTTGCAAGTTAAAAAGCAGCGGAGGCTTAAGTAGAAGACATGCAGTCTCTTGGTCCTCCACAGACCCAACAGAAGACTTTAATCAAACTGACACCCACTAACATATGCACTCATATAACCAAAAATACTGGTGTACCTCAGTGACCTAGTATATAACCTAAACTTTAATTCTTTGCAGTTAAATAGTTCACACCGTGGAACTATTAGGTGTAAAATATATCAGCCAGTTGATTTTGGTCGTTTTGATATTTCTGGCTAACAGCAATAAAAAAAAAACATGTTCTAGTTTCTCAGAAAGTTGCAGTATTACATTATCCTAATTAGAAATAATGTTGATACAAATATGTTGGCCAGCAGAATAGTATTTTCCAGGGAAATGAATAGTGTCTGCCTACAGTACTTGGTTGGGCCTCTTTTTACATGAATCACTGCAGTAGTGCAGCGTGGCATAGAGGAGCTCAGCCTGTGGTTCTTATCAAATGTTATGGAAGCCGAGGTTTTTTTAGAAGCAGCTTCTATGCAATCTGCATTTTTGCCTCTGCTGTGTCTTATCTTTTTCTTTAAAAAAAAACTTCTTTATTCAGGCCAGTTTGCCAATCAGTACAGAACCTACCATGGTGATTTATGCAGGCATTGATACCTTTGGACGTGTAGACAGGTACCAAATCCTGTTGATAAATTAAATGAACATCTCTGTAAAAAAATAAATAAAAATGTTTAGCAGAAGGGCGCATGAAGGGCTCTAAAATGTCCAAATAGATAGCTACCTTATTGTGGACTTTAGAAAATCCAGTGGACCAACATCAGCAGTAAACATGGTCAACAAAATAATTACTAAATGTGCAAACATGACACTGGACCACAAGCAGCTCTCTTTTTTTATTTCTGTCTATGAGGGCAGATATTCGTTTGATTCCCACTTTTTACAACTGTCCTACAAATTTTCCTTCCACCCAGCTTTCCATTTAATGCCTGGAATTATCACTGACTAGTTATTTGGCATGACGTCCTTCGACAGTTTGCTCTTACTTGAGGAGGGCAGGCATGCTTGTGGCGACAGTGGAGAGGAAAAACTCCCTTTTAACAGGAAGAAACCTCCAGCAGAACCAGGCTCAGTGTGAGTGGCCATTGCTGAGGCCGACTGGGGTTCAAGCAGACAGAAGCAGACATAGAAAAAGAAGCATAGATACAAAAGTCAACTGTAAAAGGCGGCCCCGTCCAGGAAACACACAGCCAGGAAGACGAGCTCTGAGCCAGCTCCCATGTCAGAGAATAAAGAGAGCACATCCAGCCAGTCAGTCAGAGAAACAGGACTTCACTGGAAAAACAGGCCGAACTCGAACATCTATAAACAAAGCAGTCTAAACCTATAGCGGCATAACTATAGAGATAGCTCCGGATAACCTGAGCCACTCTAACTATAAGCTTTATCAAAAAGGAAAGTTTTAAGCCTAGCCTTAAAAGTAGACAGGGTGTCTGCCACACAGACTAAAACTGGTAATCGGTTCCACAGGAGAGGGGCCGATGCATGTCTACACCATAATATTGCTACTGCACAATATTACTGAAACAAAGTATTTTGTATTAGTCAAATTATCAAAGAAACTGAACTTTAATTTTAATTTGTTCTAAGCAAAAATTATAAAAGTACAAATAATAATTAATCAGAATCAAGTCACTTTGTGTGGAATTAATCTCTGTAAGATAAGTGTTAGTTTTTGGATTTAATTACTGAAACAGTTTCTTTTTCTGTTACACTTTAATCCTGATAGCGGCATCTATTTTTTCTAAGACAGCTGTTTTCACTAAGAAACACCACATTCAGAATCATTTGGCCTAACTGCTGCATTTTGTGAAGGATTCTTAGATTATTAAAAATGAGGTTTATGTTTGACACAGAGCAATACCAGAGTCTGACCATTACGGAGTCACCTCGGTAAAAATTTCCTGGGAGCAGGTTTATGGATCTGCAGGCTAAATGTACATTTAATGCAGAATAACTTAATTTATTTTGTAAAGATTTTTCACTCTTAGTGTAACCTTGTAGCCATTGTGAAACATGACCAGAATAGCTAGAGTTTATGAAGACATATCACCTTTTCCCGGGAAAAGATATTAATTTTCATGTTTTTGCTGCTACAGTGAGCTTTTTGACTTTAAAGGACATTTTATTTCTTTGTCCTGAATGTATAGTAGCTTTGGACCATCTACTTTAGATGCTTTAGAAGTCTTTTATTCCCATTTTAGCTTATTTATCATTTCTCTAATAGTTATTTTTGTAAGGTTAGATAAACACAGGTAAAAATGAAACACATAGCTTTTAAATGATCAGATAACAATTCTGAATGTTTTCTTATTTCTATAGATGAGTCAAACAGTATTTTCTACAGATAGATGAAACAGCTAAACTCCCATCATTTGGGTTGATTAGATAAAGATCCAGACCAGTAATGATTATGATAGAGTTGATAGCTGCCAGGTGCAGGACGGTTCCTATCAGACACAAGTGAGGGTAGATAACGATAAGAACAATCAGCTGCAAAAGCATCCTGACTGTAGGCCCAGACGATGTCTAAAAGTCTCCTCAAAGTTAAGGATGAATAAATCCGAAACAGGTTTATTGTCAAGTGTTATTACAGAGGAACTGATATTTTCTGGGTTCTTATCAGTTCAACACTTCTCAGTGCAATCGCATCAGAATAATGCTTTGCCCGAAACGTCCGCCCTAACCCCTAAATCCATCAATCACTATATAGAGCGGGGACTGTATAGTGGACGTTATAGTGAACTCAGTTAATGACCGTTCAGACAGATGATTTTTGCTTCCTGTTGGTCACATAACTCCTCCACCACTGCATAGTGCCTGCGCCATGTTTTTTATTAGTTGCCTATGGTTACAGCGGACCGCTGTGACAGCAAGTCTCATAATTCTTTGTAAGGACAGCTCTAAGGGCCAAGCATTCTGGGATATATCTGCTCGTCCTGTAAGCATGGACGAAAACTACTTTTCAAGGTGCATTGTGGGAAATTTTAGATTCCACTACTTTTTCACCCACTAATCATTCGGACACTCATCTAAAATGACGTAACCACTCTATAGTGCCCTATATAGTGATTAGGGCGGACATTCGGATGCAGCTGTCATCAAATTCAAATTTATATACAAACAGCACTATATTAATAAATTAAATATCTGGGAACCTTTCCAAATTTTTTAACATTACAACTGCAAGCTGTAGACTATTTGTCAGTTTATTGTTTTTGAGTATTGTTTATGCCGCCTATGTCTGGTCCACATATGCCATGAAGCAGCAAATGCCACACCTTAAAATGATGCAGTATGCCTTATTTAGGCTGATTAGCTACACAAGTGTGGCTGATAGGAAATCCATGAAGATTCATTAAAAAGAAAATGATTCCAATACATCATGTGGCTCCTATTCTGAGCTCCGATCCTTTCACCTTTTGTGGGGTAAACAATAAAAACATTTCAGAGTAGGAACGGAGCTCCAAACTGCCATGCTGAATCTGGACAGCCTTTAGTCTTCTGAACATCATTACATGACACTCACAAAGTCAATGCGTGTCAAATCAGGACTACAGCTTTCTGGAAAATAACTACCGTATTTTCACGACCATAAGGCGCACCGTACTAAAAGGTGCAGTCTCAGTTATGTGTGCCATTACTGTATTTAACACACACATAAGGCGCACTGGACTATACTGTAGGGCGCGGGTTTTATACTGGTACATATCCTCTACTACGTTTAAATACCTCTACTGCGTATTTAAAAATAGAGCGGGAGCAAAACTGAGTATGTTTGTGCTTTATTCATGTATTTATTACAAAGTATTAATCAAACCCATCAAAGTCATCATCCTCTGTTTCTGAATTAAACAGCTGCACTAAATCAGCCATGCCAATTTCCCCTTCTTCGCTGTCAGAGTCACTTTCCGTGCCGGGCGGCTCCTCGGAAATAATGCCGGCTTTTGCGAAAGCTCGAACAACAGTGCCAGCAGACACGTTAGCCCAAGCATCAACAATCCATCTGCAAACGGTGGCGTAACTTGCCCGGCGCTGCCTTCCACTTTTCGTGAAACTGTGGTCTCCGTCGGTCATCCATCGCTCCCACGCCGCTCGCAGCCTTACTTTGAACGGCCGGTTCACACCGATGTCGAGCGCTTGAAGTTCCTTTGTCAGACCTCCCGGAATAACAGCGAGCACAGCGTTCATTTGTTTCACCGTGT